CTCCAGGGATTTCTTCAAGTACTTTTAATAAGTCAAGACGTTGCTGGCTGCTCATGAATACATTAAAATAAACATTTTAGGTGCCTTGCTTGTTATAGCAGGCCTCTTTTGGCACTGGCCTGATCTGAATAGGTTGCTCTGAGGTCACTGCAGGCCATAAATCAGAGTGTGGCCTGGTGGCTATGACAGTCTGCATGGATTTAGTGCAATGTGCTATTTTAGTTTGTGCCCCTGAAATGACACCATCTCTTTGGCACCAGCCACAGAAAGCTTCCTAGACATCTATGGGAAGGGAATGCTTCACAGTAATACACAGCCAAGGTCACACAGGCATGAGTTACTTCGGGGAGGTCTGTGTCTGCTCCAGACCCTGTGACGAAGTAGGGAGACAACTTCCAACCAAAGTGCATAGCCAGAAATTCAGAGGGAAACTGACCCAATCATCTTGGCAGATCACGGAAACAAAGAATAACCAATTCTTTTCAACCCACAAAACTAAGGCATCCTCTTCCTGCGCCCTTTCCCATTAATTAGGTCCAGTGAGAACCTCAGATATATTTTGAGAAAGATTCAACATAAATTGTATTTGTTTATATGATATAAAATATGCCATAATAAAACAAAAAACTCCAACACTTTCTAATTGAGGCTCATACATACATTTTTATAGTTTGTATCTCTTTTCCCATGAAGGGTGTAACTTAACCAGTCTGAGCTTTCAGGATTTATTGGTTTTGTATATAAACTTAATATAGTTTCTTCCTTCTCTCTCTCTTTCTTTTCTTCTCCCTTTCTCCCTCCTTCCTTCCCTCCTTTTTAATTTTTAGAAGGAGCAAGTGTAGTTTGGTATACAAACCAAAACATACTAGATTATAACAGATTGTGTAATTGATTACCTATGAAAAATCCTCCTTGGTTTTGTCAATAATCTGCATAGAAAGAAAAAAGGTAAGCACAAATCCTAGTTATAATTCTTTCTTTTGGCAAATATTTGGTAGTCTTTTGGTTTGAGTTGAAGTTCCCTTTGAAAGAGAAAGGGTGCTGACTTACTTGGCCTGGGGAAAGGTGAGAGATCTGGTTCAAAAGTGAGTGGTATTTGCTCCCACTATCTGCTGGTGTCTAGAAAAACTGCCAGCAGCCAATGGCTGAGGGGACTCCCTGGTGCCAGTTCATCTTATAGGAAAGAGCCCACCTTGTTTGGGGAGCAGGAGAGGGGAAAGATGCCTTTCCCAGACACAGTCATCCAGGAGAAACGCTGTGTGGGACAAGCTCCAAGGGATGCTCAAGGATGGGGCCAGAGTTTTGCAGTGAGAATATTAAAGGTGTGTAGTGTCCAGGGAATAGAAAAGCCTAAGAAATACTCTGCACACATACTGTGAACTTGAGGTGTTTTATTATTCTAATCATTGCATTTGACAACAGATTACTGAGCAGTGCTGAAAACAGAAGCAGCCAGGGCTTGTGTTTCTAAGGAAAGAAGCAATTCCAGCTTTAATTTGTGCTAAGGAGTAATTTTGGCTGCCAAAATTCTGACTGACCAGACCTGGAGAACTGTTTCTTCCCACACATGGTTTCTGATATGTTCTTGACAGCCTGCCTAAGTCCTCCGCTATTCATAGTTCTTCTGTTGTTCTTTTTTCAATCATCATCATCATCATCATCATCATCATCATCATCATCATCATCATCGTTGTCATCTTTTTGTTACAGTTATCATTACCATTGTCACCCATGCATCTACTTCCATGGACATTCACCAGACTGACTGTCAAGATCACACAGTGATGAAAGAGATGAAGGCCCTATAATTTGATAATTTTGAGACAACAATGGTAAAAGGGCCTGTAATTCTAATTACTGGGCTTTTGATACCTTGATAATCAAACCAATGAAGAACCTAGGAAAAGATCACATCCTAGGAAAGATCGCATCTACCTGATAGTAGCTGTTTCCTACATGACGTAATGTTGGTGTTGGTGTTTGGAAAGCAAACTTACTTCAAGGAAGGAGAGAGAGAGAAGGAAATATTGGAGTTGAGGTGTGTGGGTGGAGGACTGTATCCTTTCTCTAGACCTGTCCTTCCTCCTCTCCTCCTCCCTCTCTGTGCAGCCCTGCTGTAGAACAGAGCAAAGTTACAGACTGATGCAACTTAGTTCTGTGCATCTTAACATTTTCTTTAACCAGACAAAACAATAGCTGAAGCAAAGGGGAGCTCAGAAAAACAGTTAAAAAATACAGCACAAGCATGACTCATTTTTTTCTTCTCCTATCTTTGTGTGGTCCCTTTATACCTACAGTTTCCTTTACAAGCGTGTCCATTGCAAGGCAACATATGGTTGCCCTAATAACAAGCTTTGGGGTCTTTTCCTTTTTTTATTGTACAGGACACACACTTCATGGAGAGCTTTCTGGTATCTTGAGTATGCTTAGTGAGGCCTAGAACAAGGATGGATTCTTCTGGGGTCATACGTGTCACTATGCAGAGAAGAGTTTTTAACAATGAGACCTCAGAGAATGTACAGCCAACATCCTGGATTTAGATGAAGATTGGGCCTCAAGGAGGTTAGGCAACCTGTGCAAGTTCCTACAGTTACAGGCCAGCTGGGGCGGGGCTGTCACCCGGCCCCGACAGGTTGTCCAGCGCTGTTTCCACCACAGGAAACCTCTGCAGTGATGCTTATAAACTGGTATTCTGTAAATAAACCCTGCTTTGAATTGACTAGGCTAACCAGACAAGTAAAAAGTGTTGTTGAATTCCCTGCAAATGTCTCACTTCTGTAAAAATCTATTTTTGTAAATACCATAGGAATTAGTATTTATTATTTATCATGTTTTAGGCACTAAACACTTTCCCTATGAGGTCTGTGCCCCTTTTTTGTAAGTGAGAAACTGAGCTACACAGAGACTAAGTGACCCACGTAATGTCACAGGGGGGATTGAGCGGCACAGTCCAGGCGGAAGCTGTCGCCTGTTCCCTTGCACTGAGGTGCTGAAAATAACATACCAGCATGACAGGATCTCACCTAAGCTAGCAAAGACAAGTAATGGCTCTGAAAACTGAATACGCTGGATGTTGACTTTGCAAGTTTCCTTCTGATATCTGCATGGATTAAGTTAAATGAGGCGATCAGTTTGGAAAGGGTAAAGTGCATCATAGTGCAGTACAGATCTCAGTTCTACTGTGCTGATCATCTGTACAACCCAAGAGCAAGTGCTGTGCTGCTGCACTGGGGAGAAAAACTAACTGAATCGATGCCTAGGCGTACAAGGCAGAACCAGAATTGGAGTCTAGATCTTGTCCGACTCCCAGGTTTCCTTGCACCATGGTTGCTGAAGTGAAACTAGTCACCCTGACAGTCACCAGGGCTCAGGAGAGAGAGAGGCTACGGGGTCACCATCAAGTCCTGCTCTTCAGGATAGGCTGCCCCATAATCCAGAGTGGGAGCATCTGTCTACAGGTGGCGCTGTCTAGCACCAGAGCTGGCAAAAAAAAAAAAAGAGAGAAATTCTTTCGGGGAAAGAAAGGAGGACTGGGCATTTTGGAACAGCTCTCCTGGAGGGAGGGGTGAATGACTACCAGGTTGTCCAATCTTGGCTTCCTTTTCTGGTTGTGAACATTTGTTAAGTGGTAAAGGAAGTAGGATCTAAGTGGCTATAACCAGAGAAAATGTCTTCAAGTAGAAGTGAAAGCCAAAGAACAGAGCCTAAGATCAAACTTCAATGTAATGATGGCTCTCAGCACCTGTTACCAAAGTATAGGCATGATCTAGAACTCAGTAAAAGCGACACAGCTTACACAGATATTCTTCAAACTGATTTAAGTTGTGATAAAAATACAAATTATGATTTCAAATATTTCTGTGGCTAGAATAAAATAATAGAAGGATGGTCGTCAACATTGAAAGTGACTATATCCTAGATGACTAGTTTACAAAAGATCTTATTAGGCTATTTTCTTTCTTTAATAAACCTGTACTACTTGAGTAATCACCAGAAAACACCTTACTACTGCTCTGAAAAATATTACTTGATAGAGTTTTTTTTTTTTTAATTCCTAGACATGGTTTCTTATGGAAAATAACTAAATTCTCGAGGTCCCCAAGTCCAGATTCCCATTTATTTAGACAGTTTCACATTCTAGAAAAGTTCCTACACATGGCCCAATGTCATGGACAGCATTGGAACAGGACATCCGTGGATTACTAGATTAGCCATTTAAAATAGCAAGACCGGGCTAGGGGGTGTAGCTCAATGGTACAGCATTGGCCTAGCACACACAAGGCCCTGGGTTCAAGGCCCTGGGTTCAAGCCCCAGAACCACTCTAAATAAATAAATACATAAATATCAAGTCTTACAGCCAAATTGCACTGCAGAGCCAATCTTGGGAGGATCGGTGATGTGGGGATGGAAATAAAGGGGTGGCAGTTGGTGCAGTTGGTGTCAGACCCTACAGGGCTTCAAGCATCCCTGCTTAGGAGAGAAGGAAAGGGCAAGGGAAATGGAGAGCTGAGGGGCCGCAGACGAGTGAGGACGACTGTGAGAGAGAAAAGGTCTAAGGATATGGGGGTGGTGGGGGCAGAGCCAGGAAGGAGAGACCACAGCTGTGTGCACCATGGAGAACTGTCTGTCCCACTCCATCTGTCTGCCTCTTACCCCAGCCGGGGTGTAGTGTGCTAAGCACCGTGACAGGCTTTCCTGAAGGTGTCAGACAAGACGGCAGACAAAAGGAACACAGGGAAAGATTTAGTGGTAGTTTCTGACCTGAAGTAAAACTTTACCTAGCTATAAGTTTAAAAGAATATTTGGAAACCACTCAGTTCCCTTCCACACCAACCTCTGGCCTTGGTGTCCTCTGGTGTCTAAACCGGTACGCACAATGACTGTCCTGTTCAGAACACTTTCGAGATACTGAAGTCCTCACCCAAGTCAGGCAAACCTTTCCAATAGTGTGAAACAAAGCAAAGCACCAGAATGACTCCTACCAGAGAGCTGTGTTTACCTTCTCCAAAAATATCATCCTCTTCATCAACAAGAAGCTCGTCAGCGTTAAGAAACTGCATCCTGGGGAGGACAGCAGGGCAGGAGGCAGCCACAGCCTCTCCGAGGTCCCTGCAGCAACACTGCCCTAGTTGGCTTCCTCTTCTCTCCTCTCCTCTCCCGGAGGGGTTGCCCAAGCTCAAGACCAAGCCAGGGGAGGGTGCTTCCGTCTCTGCCCCGGAGAAAACAGCTTCATTCACAGGAACAGGCTTCTGCAGCTTTTTGCAAATGAAGTGAATTCCAGGTGAGGTAATTCTCCCCACTGAGAAGAAAGCCTTTTGGAAGGGGCTGCAGATGCGGTGGGATCTGAAATGCAGTTATCACTCCAAGTCTGAGTGCATCTGAGCTTTGTATTTCAAAGCACCAACTTTCATATTTACTTAGAGGACAGTGTGTGCTTAACTCCCTTGCTTATGAATTTGAACACAATGGGTAGCGTTGAAAGAGAGGGGGCTTACATTTCTCAGATCTTGGTTTGGCTTCAGTGACAATTTATCTGGGAGTAAAGCAGGCCAGTGTGCTGAAACAAAGCAGGCATTTGGAAGACGGGGGCTTTTATTTCACTCTAATGGTTGCATTTTTCTTTTTCTTTTTTTCTTTTTGTTTTGCATTTGAGGACTGCATGCCACAATGTTTAAACCAAGTTAACTCTGATCCAGGCTCTTATTGGCTTGATTGAATCTCTCATAGTTGGTGAACAGATAACTGGTTTTGGTCAAACAACTTTCATTTTACAATATTTACTCAGACTGATATTTCAGACTTTATCACTAAAAGAGAAAGAAGAAACTAACTCAAAAAGAGGTTCCTACCCTGGAGCTTGCATCACCATCTTGAGTTTCTCGAAGCTCCAGTTAAGTTCTTTGTGCTGTGCAAGCCTGAATCTCTTCGGGCTATGCTGCAACTTCACCCTGGGGTTTTCCCAGGCTCTCAGCAGCTCCACGCCTCAGGAAATGCAAATGAGGAGGATGAGGAGGAGCTGTTGACTTGAGGTCCTTATGTTGGAGCTTTATTTACTGCAGGTTTTCCTCCAAGCTGAGAACCTGTCATGTCCTGGGTTACTAATGGCACCTTTGGAGAATATGGAAACTGGGATGGGTAGGAAGGCCAGCTGTGAGGATGGATAGCCGCGGAAGACAGAAATTGGTCCTCAAGAGCTAGCTGTGCACCAGCTGAGGGTTCAGATGTGCTGCTGGCTGTGGGGGTTCCCAAAGGCAGCACATGTCTGGGGCCCTGCCAGGGGCTCTGATATCTCTAACTAGGCAGGAACCACCCTTCAGGGAGAGCTGGGAAACCTGTGAGGTGTTTGAGGGGCACCAGAACTGGGGGTTATTACCAGTATGAACTGTAGTGCTCCCTGGGGCCAGGACTAGCAAGCTCCCTGCAAAACAGTGGCTCAGCAGGAGACGTCCAGCCCCAAATGCCCAGTGGCCCCTGGAGAAATGCTGTGAAGCAGACACCTTCTCCTCTCCCTCTCAACAGATCTTGTTTGGATCCCTCCTCTCTGATACCTCTACCACCCCAACGGGGATTCCTACTTTAACCCTGTTTCTGGTCAAAGTAGTTACTTAAATTAATTAAAATGGGACCAAATGTAGGAAACTTGCTTGTGGATTAGATCTCCATTCTTGTGCAGTTGAGATGAGGGAATGGGTGTCGCTTGTGATCATCACTAGATCTCTCAGTCGCTGTCCTGTGTCCTTTAGTCATCCAGCTTCACAAGCTGGGTGCCATCATCCCATTTTGCAAATGAAGCCATGAAAGCTCTGAGGCCTTGAATACAGCAGGCAGGCACGGGGCAGATTTTGCTAACTTCAGAGCTCGCTCCATTAGTCATTACCTCTTTTCTAAATAGGTTCATGGAGTGGCTTCAGACAACCTGGTCACTCTAAAAAACCTTTACCATCTTGCTCACCCTCACCTCAGAACCACCAAGTTCCCCGCCATCCACTTCTGCTAGTTAACCTGACCTCTCTATTTCCTTATCTTTCAATGAGTGAAACTGTGCACCCCATTCATACGTGGAAGACCTCACCCTCAATACCTCAGAATACAATCTTATTCAGAAATAGGGTCTTTGCAGATGTAATTAGGGAAAATAAGCCCATACCCTGTTGGTACAAAGTGAGTCTTTAATCCAGTATGACTAGTTTTCTTGTAAAAGTGGAGACTTAAAGACACACACACACAGGGAGAGCACCCTGAGGAGACAAAGGCAGCGATCTACAAACCAAGGAGTGCCAAAGCTTGCCAACGAACCATCAGCAATTTAGCGGGGAGACATGGGCAAGTTCTCCCTGGATGCCTCAGAAGGAACCAAGCCTGACTACGCCTTGCCCCCAGGCTTTTAGCCTCTAGAACCCCGATAAGAATAAATTTCTGATGTTTAAATCCCTCGCTCGCCCAGTTTTAAAGGTTGGTTATGGCAATCCCATCAAACTAACAACTTCCTCAATTGGCTTGTTTTGAGGATTACATCAGATCATTCATGTAAAGGAATTATCATAACACACGGTGCCCAGTAAATATGGAGTTCGAGTTATCCAATTTAGTGTCTCCATAGGGAAGCTTAGAAGGTTTCTTGATTTAACCCTCAGTGGGGAAGGGGAATGAGCGGTCACATGCTCTGTATAAAATCTCAACACCTGCAGGAAGTTTCCCTCAGTCTCTTCTTTCCCAATTTACACATCTTAAAAATGCAGGTGACATTCTCAAGCAAATCACAAATGTCATGAAGAACCTCTTAGAAGCAGGGAATACAGAAAACATGGGTGGGTGTTTAGAGAAAGAAGGCATAGGCGCTATGTGTTTAACTAAGAGGGAAAATTAACAAGTACATCAATATGAATGAATTCAAAAACAGTATATTGACTAAAAAGTCTAATAAAATATTAGTAGTATGATTATATTTATATAAACATCTCAAAATGGGCAGAGTAAAAATATAGACAATATATATCGTAGCTAACACTTCCACAGTGCTAGATATAACTCTAAATGCCTTGATTCGCCTAATTCTCAGGCCAGCCCTATGAAATAGGTATAATCACCATATATATTTTAGTTTAAGGCTCAAGAGGTGAAATGACCCATACATCTGGTGAGTGTAGCACAGCTGTGATGACTCATATGTGTGAAGGATTAAGGACTGGGGAACTGTTTGGATTTCAAACTTTTGCTCAAGGATCCCCGTCTCCCATCTCTTCCATCAATTGGGAAATTATTGACTCATCTTTGGGGCTTAATTTAAGAGCTATCTCTTGTATAGAGCCTTTTTGACAGTCCCATGTGAAAACACTCGTCCCTCCCCTGAATCACTTATCCATTTAAAGCATCGATTTCATTCCTGTCCTTCACTCCTCATGGGCAGGGTTTGTTGCTTCTTAGACCCTGTAGCCACAGAGTGATGGGTAGCGAGTTGTCTGCCCACTGAGAACACTGTGGGGAAAGGAATGGCAGAGAGCGAGTGTAAATTGAATATGAGAGAACAAGAGTTATTCCTTGGGAACTAGAATCTGCAGCCAAGAGAAAAACTGTTTTCCTTTATTCTCTTATGCTTTTGCAAAGGGCCTTCAAATCAAACTGACAAGAGACTAACAAGGAAAGAGGCATACAAAGTTTATTATTTCCATAAGCAAAGTTTATTAATTCAAAATTTATTATATTTCTTCACAAAAAAGAAGTGAAAACCCAAAGAAGTGGTGGAATTTAGGGGCTTCTATCCCATTTTAACAACGAGTAAGAAAGGTGAAGAAGTGACCAATGGCCCAGGATAGGAGAACTGTAGAAGGTGACTAGCAAATGTGGTTCTGCAGACTGGCCCCAGTGCCACCACACCGGTGGTGCAGTGTCACTCCTCTCCCTGGTACAGGATGGGGGGACACCTGTATTAAGGGGGATTTATGTCACCTTTATCAAGATGCCTTGCTTTTAGGCAGGAAGGAGGAGGGCAGAGAGCTCTTCTTGCATTTGCTGTTTCTCATGCCTTCAGCTCAAAATAGTCCTTATGCTAAACTGGCATATTTTCATAGGATATATTCTGATCCCCTTCAAATACATACTAGAAAGGAGAGACTAAAGCTATGGGGGCAGCCTTTGTTTAAGGGGGCTGTAGGTTACAGAGAATAGGTGGTTTTTTGTTTGGTTGGTTTTTGTTCTTTTGCTTTTGCAAAGGTAAGCACCATAAAGTACTAGTTATTTTTATGTATGTTATTATTACATGTCTTACTGTTAATTGAGACATAGTAATTGTATATTTCTATGAGGTGCAGCATAGCATTTCAATATGTGTACATAGGACGTAGTGATCAGATTGGGGTAATTGAGGCATCCATCACCTGGACACTGCTCTGAGAAGAAGGTGGCTGTGACTGAGCAGAGAAGAGTAGGTCTGGACACCAAAGGACCTTGCTTTTCAGTGACTGAAGCAAATCATGCCAATATTTAGATTTAGAGGAGAGGACAAAAGTGATCAAAGGCTGATTTGTGGAATCGTGGGCTAAAGGTGACAACAGAACTTCATCAAAGTCTGAAGCACAAAGCCAGGGCAATGTTTAAATACTCTAAATAGTCAGTGCCTGCTTTGTGCCACACTGGGCCTATGAATTACAAAGCTGACCAAGGCCTTGGCCTTGCTTTGAGAAAAGTTACCCATTGCTGTGTTTGTTCAGTTGAAAATAATAATAAGTACCCACTAGATCTCAGGTTTGGTGGGAAACATTTCAGTGAATGTATAAGCAGCTATGTGTGTCAAACAGGAAAATCAACAAATTATGACAGCTTAGGTTATGATTACTGATTGATGGATTGATTGTTTGATTACCTTGACACATTTCTGCATGGTTTGGTGTTTTGAAATGCTGTCTATGAAGCATGGAGAGGAGGAAGCCCCTCACTGGCATTCATTCCCCGAGGAAGGCCTTTCAATAGCCTCCTCTTTGCACTTCTGTAGGATTCCCCACACCTCTGAAAAATGGTTTTAAGTACTTAATTTTCAGATTCACAAACTTTAGAAGAGAGAAAAGAGTCTGGACTAAGTAGAGGTAAGATGTCCAGAAACAGAAAGGAGAACAGAGTAGGAGAGAGGAACTG